TTGTCCTTAAAAGATGGTTAAATTATCGTTTTATGAAGATACACAGCAGGAAGGGTGAAAATTAAAGTTTAACTAGAATTTATCATTTATGAACTGTATTGTCCTTGTTATGCAATTCCACATGGAAGCACGAAGAACTAAATTTTCCAAATAGAGATGATTTTTGCAATAGTGTTTAAATAATTCAAAAACTGATCAGGTTCTCTTTCCATTTATTTATGAGAATTGCCTTTTTTTTTAGTTACAGAATTATCTCACTAGCTGCAAAGAATGGGTTTTACATTAAATTTTACATTTTTAAGCTGTATCTTGTGACCATGATAAGGATTAATGAAAGACAATAACTTACTTCAACATACAAAGATAACTTTTAAGGGTGACCAGTTACTTAGAAATAATTAAATTAGGTATTTAGTTAGATACCCCTTAGTCATTACATACTTGCACGGCCACTATTAAAAATATTTTTATTTTTTAAAAAAAATTATTAGAAAAAGCACTATTAAAATCACAATCTAATACTATTTGACAGTTTAAAACACATGTTATTTAGAATACTAATTCTTAAACAATGTTAAGATATTACACATTAAAAGCTATGGAACGTTTATGTTTCATAATTGCTTGATTTAAAATGTAGTTTATTGAGATTATATATTTTTTGTTTGGCTCTAGTGTAGAATTGGCTGCTCCTTTTGACATTTTAATTGAAAATATATCGATGTGTACACGAACATAGTCAAGGGAGTGTGCAATGCCGAGTTTGTGCAATTCTCTGATGTTTTGTAAAGTGAAAATATGTTGATGTGTACATGGATACCAAGTTTGTGCTTGTTATTTTGGCTTTGTGTAGCACCAGTTTTTGGTGCCAAAATAACAAGTCAAAGAATTGCACACTCGGTGTCCATGTACCGCCAAAGATCGCACATTTTTACCCAGGGTCACCCGTATATATATTTTTACCAAAAAGAGATTTTTTAAAGAAATGCTACCAGATATTTTTCATTTTTACTTTTGTGAACTAATGTGGTGATGGCAGTCTACAGGTTCTAATTTAGATAACTTAAAATAATTTTTGGACGCTGTTAAGGAATTCTGTGTGTCTCAGATACCGAAGAAATGCAAATTTTTAAATAAGTAAGTTGATATTTAATTAAAAAAAAAAATTAGGTCGCTATTTCCTTTTTGTATTGCGTAGATCGCAAAACATGCATTTGCATTCTGTTACTTCCCTTGCTTGATTTAAAATGCAGTTTGAGATTATATATTTGTTATTTTAATCATATTTTACTGGGAACGGCTTTGGACATGAACAGGAATGTCACCAAAAAATCACCAAGAGACACCCTGAAATATATTTTTTACCAAAAAAACTGGCTCTACTCTTATATGCGCCCTAAGATGTGGCGATATGTGTTCTGCGCTGGTTTTTGGCTCGATTGCATGTTGTATGGCAACCCTTTTGACGTTGAATATTCTTTTGATGGAGTATTTTACTTGCTCGTTGGTTCGTGTTTTTAAATGGCCTATGCTGCAATGAGAGATGTGGTTGCAAGAGAGTCTGCGAGATTATTTTTAGTGGCTTTGCATGATAGAAGTAAGGAAACGTTGATGCAGTGTATTAAAGAGTGGATTGAGCTTGTACAACTATTTTTTCGGATGGCTGGAAATCTTACAAGGATTTAGGAAAAGAAGGTTTTGAACATTTATTTGTGAACCATAGTATGAATTTTATGGATAGTGCGTCTGGCTGTCATATAAATACGATACTGATTACGTGGCGGCATGAAATTAATATTTCTGCTGTTCAAAAAAGCATTCATTCATGGTAAGTGTATTTTATTTTATTCTTGATCTTATTTTGTAGAATGTTATATTCATTGTTATTTTAGTATGAATTTCTGTCGTTACTGATGTTTTTTTCAATTGTTTGAAATTTATTTGTTAGTTATTTTGTTGATTAGTGTGCAGTGCCTAGACTGTGCAATTCGTAGATGCTTTTTTAAATTGAAACCAAACGCTGTGTACATGGTATTATTTGAAATTTATTGTTGTTATGTTAATTTATTAAAGCAGGGTGTGCATAGTTCGCAGATTCTTTTGTTGCATAGATTGTGCAATTCATAGATATTTTTTTAAGTAAAAACACACCACTGTGTACATGGATTCTTGTCAAATACTTTTGGTTAGAAACTTTACATTCTTAATTTTTTGCTTTTGTTTCGGATTTTTAGCTTAAATTGTGTGTTGCAAAAACCGCGTTTTTGGAGACATTTTAGGCTTAAAATTCGAAATGTAGGCAAAAAATTTAGATAGTAATATGGCACCATGTAGTTTCTCACCAAAAATCTTTGGCGAAAAATTTCCGACTTGACGGCACATACAAGAATAGTTCCAAAACACTTATAATAAAACATATTTACAATAAATGGCAAAGAAAACTCTCTCAATACTTATGAAATACAACACATAAATTATTTCAAATAAATTTTGTCAGTATGTTTTATTCACTAGAGCAATAATGATGTTAACAGAGATTTTTATAAATATTATTATATATAATGATAATGCAATAATGATGTTAACAGAGATTGCACTTTAGCAATAATGATGTTAACAGAGATTCGTGTGAATTCAGTTAATTTCTGGTGTAGTATCGTGTGGCCCCAACTTGTCAGCAACTGTGGTAGTGTACTACTAAGTGTAAATTTATACCGACACGTCAGAAGGGTTTAAGGCCCTTTTTATGCAACTTTAAAAATAACAGCTACGTCCACTTGACGCTCACAAACTACGCCGACCCGGCGGTTTAACTGAAACAGAACGTAAAACTGAACAATAATGACAGGATGAATAAAATAGCGAGATCACTATCCACGATTCTCTGAGAAACTAACCTAACCGCGTTCTAAAATACCACCGAGATTCAGCGAGCTTACTAATTAAGCAGTTGAAAGATCTGGCAAAAACTGCCGAGATAGGCACACAGGCCGAAACGCGTGGTTCTTAAATTTCTACCTAGCAACCTTGACGTTCACGATTCAAGAAGAACACCTACAATATCGTTTTCTTTCTATTTTAAACTCAACTTACTTCTGCTAAATTTGAATATACTGTGTGGTCTACTACAATTTACATACTCTAGCATTGGCAATTCTAGGGAAAAATAAAGGCTTGACAGGAAAGATGGCTTAAAATAAATATAAACCCTACACTGGAACTAAATAATAATACATCTTAATTTACACATGAACTACAAAGTACCAAAGCAGTCTTATTTTGAGCATCTCTTCTATGTTTAATAATACAAATCATTGAAAATGTATTATTTGTGAACAAAAACTGCATATCCAGAATACGTGTATAGGGATTTAAAAAGCTAAAATATCTGCTTAGTATACAAAAACTCAATACACAAACCTATATTATTTAACTGTCAAATTACAGTATGTGACATTTTCAAAATCAATCCACAATTTGTGCATTACACAGATATTATTTAAAATTTTCTTTAAACTTTAATAAATTTGGCTTAATCCTAGTATCCGGTGCACACGGGATTTGACTACTTTTGGCGACTTTATGATGAGTAGTTAACGGGTCATTCAAAGAAAATATATATTTAAACATAGTATATACTATGTATATAGTATATATACTATGTGTGTATATACATATACTATGTGTGTATAGTATATATTTGGGTCATTTTTGGTGTTGGCGATAATTTTCAAAGTCGCGCCAAGGCTGCACCGTATACTAGGATTTTACCATAAATTTTCAAGGACATTAAATACTATCTTAAATATGCAATTTCAATAATTTATATAAAATTTTTTAGAATATCTTCAAAATGTCAATAAATTAAAGATACCTAGCATTTTTATCATAATTTTTTAATAAAGATTAGAAGATTTAATCGATAAAAATATAATAAAATGCATGAAAAATGACTGCAATCAATTCTATATATAAATAATATGCTTGACATAAGACAGACTTCAACACTGAAAAACTCAAAGCTAGATAATGAACAACGACTATTACATCAAAATAATAATATTTAACGGAAAGAAGGAAGAGAAAAAGACCTTATTCTTGAAGCTACATATTTTTACTAGAATGACAGCACAATTTGAAAATGACCTTTTAAAACTATGCACAACAATGAGCTTGCGACATACAATTTTTGGAGATTTTTAACACTGAAATAGTAGCTATGTGAAATATTCTGTTCCAACGAGAAAGAGGTACTTTCTGTTATCGGGATCAGATTCAGAAATGCATACATGTTTATATGTGCATGTCAGTGTATACAAACATAGACATTAAACATATGCACACATTTCTGCATCTGGTTCCGATAACAGAAAAGTACTGAGAAAGCAAGAAATTTCAGGCTGCAGTAATAATGATATCAGAAAACAATACATTTCACATAAATGCTGTAGTAAGTGCAATTCAGTATGAATGACTTAAATTTGTGGGTGAGGGAAATGTCACCCAGAGTCATCCAGTTCTGAAAGTGTTTCAGGGTTGTAACTTTTTAATCAACCTAGGTTTAGGTTTCCTTTTATAAGAGATATCACCGTTAAGCAAATGTCATTTAAAGTCAGCATTCCTCTAAAATTATTTCAGATTTATACCAGAAGGCTCTTTCTTGTAGAAACAAATAAATAGTTTCTTAGGCATTTAGATAAAATGAAAATTTATACATTTTACAGAATGTGATTTTTCCTTATAGTGCATAAAAGGAAAGTTTCTCACTAATATATCTTCTGAAAAGAAATGAGGCAAATATGTACAGGCTTCAATGCAGATTAAGCTCTTCTACACAGAGAAAAATTTCTTTCTCCAAATTCTTGTCCTGCCCAATTCAATCATTACGAACATAATTTATACAGTTTTTCCCCTGTATAAGCAAACATATATTTGTCTAAACTGCTCCTACATCTAAATGGCTAGTTATATAACTTACATACACAAGTTTTATCTTAAGTGCACAAGCATGTGTCTGTTTAAACCACCCTTTTGTCTAAATGCTTTGTTGCACACCTCGCATACATAAGGTTTCTCTCCTGTATGAATAAGCATATGCTTTTTTAAAGCACCTTTGTGTCTAAATGACTTTTGACATATTTCACACAAATAAGGTTTGTCTCCTGTGTGAACTAGCTTATGTTGCTTTAAAACATTACTTCGCATAAATGACTTATTACATACATCACACACATGAGGTTTCTCTCCTATGTGGATACGCATATGGAATTTCAAATAAAGTTTTACTCCAAAGGATTTGTTACATACTTCACAAGAATAAGGCTTCTCTCCTGTGTGAACATGCATATGATTGTTTAAATTATGCTTTAGAATAAATGAGTGATCACAAATATTGCACACATGAGGTTTCTCTCCTGTATGAATAAGCATATGCTTGTTTAATGCATAGTTTATTCTAAATGACCTTTGACATACTTCACATGAATAAGGTTTCATTCCTGTGTGAAGTATCTTATGTTTGTATAAACTAATCTTTAGTCTGAATGACTTACTACATACATCACACACATAACGTTTCTCTCCTGTATGAATAAGCATATGCTTCTCTCCTGAGTGAACAAGCATATGCTTGTTTAAAGCACACTTTACTCTAAATGACTTTTCACATACTTCACATGAATAAGGTTTCTCTCCTGTGTGAAGAAGCAGATGGCGGGTTAAATCACACTTTCGCCTAAATGATTTATTACAAACATCACACACATGAGGTTTCTCTCCTGTGTGAACAGTCATATGCACATTTAAATATTGCTTTAGTCTAAATGATTTGCTACACATCTCACACACAAAAGGTTCTTTTGAGTGAACACGGCCATGTGAATTTAAATCATGCTTTAAACTAAATGATTTGTTACACTCCTCACAGACATGTTTCTCTATCGTGTGAAGCATATGCTGATCCTTTCGTATGAATGATCTTTCGCATACTTCACACAAATGAGGTGTTTCTTGTGTGTGAGTAAGGAGATGCTTTTTTAAATTATGCTTTTGTCTAAATGACTTAGTGCATACACAACATACATAAGGTTTCTCTCCTGTGTGAATAAGAATATGCCTGTTTAAACTATATTTCTGTCTAAATGACTTGGTGCATACCTCACAAACATAAGGCTTCACTGCAGTATGGGTAAGCATATGGATGCTCAATTCCCCTTTTAATCTAAACAATTTGCTACATACTTCACACCCATAAGATTTCTTTTCTGTGTGAATAAGGATATGTTTGTTAAAATATTTTATACGTGAATCGCATATATCACATACATCTCACACTTAATCCTGTGTGGATAAACATATGCTGCTTTAATTTAAATTAAAGATTACATTTCTCACAGATGAGGTTTCTCTCCTGAGCGAATATTTACCAGCTTTTTAAAAATAGTTGTTTTTTCCAAATGACTTTTCACATATAGTTCCATTCCTATAGAGAGAAGCAGCCTTGGTATCATATAACTTTCCACATACCTCACGATAACTTTTGTATGTTTTAGGAACATGCGTTCTGTACATATGTTAAATGGTCTGGCTAAAAAGAAATTTGGTCCAATATAGTTTTTGGCTCGCTAGCTTTCGTTACACCCTGCCTTCTACGTATGGTTATCTTCACAAGAATATGAACACATGCATACCTTGATTAATATTAAAGAATCTTGATGCATACAACGACAGAACATCTTCACGATCGGAAAGGGGGGAAAATAGGAGGAGTTACGAGATTCTCTGGATTGTATGAAGATCTTTGAGAACTTTCTCGCCAAGTTATTTGGCGTCATCGGTTCATTCTTATTTCTATGGTAGGAGTGTTGCTGATGTGTGTATGCTGAATAATTCTCTCTCCTTGTTTTCTAAATTTTCACATTTTGCTTGATTAATTTTAAACCCTTCCCTGTTTTGCCCGTACACAGCCGTACGGGCAATCTGATTTCTATTTCGCTTGCACTGTTTCGGCCGTATTTTTTCCAATTTTAGTAACAAATTATTCGTATAGATGGCGATAGTTGTCCAGTAAATGCAAGGTCCGTAGAAAGTACCTTGCAGTAAATGATAGTTTGCAGTTTATTGTCTGATTGGTTCAAAAGCGCGGGTTTTTTCGCATGTTTTGTATCAGAAGACGAATTGTTATCTTTCAGTGTATAGCTTTCTGGTTTTATTTTACTAACCGTCTGATAATTGTATTGATGTAAGTGTTGAATAATATATTTTTACTTTTAAATAATGGATAATTCAGAGCGTATGGAGCTAATTTCTTGTGATTCGAACTGTGACTCGGAATCAGAAACTGAATTATCTGTAACTGATAGTAGCGAAAGTTTACTAGATGACCTGGATAGTAGTGACTCTGATAGTAGTACAGATGGAATCAGTCAAGCAAGACAATTTTTTGAAATTAGTTGTGATAATCCTTCGGATCCGCCTCCTAGATTTGCTTTCGCTGGAATTCCAAAAATTAACTTGGATATCGATGAGACTAAAGGTAAACTTCAGTTCTATGATGCTTTCATAGACGATTATTTGCTTGACCTGATTGTTTTTGAAACAAATAGATATGCTAAGCAATGCATAAAAAACAGTACACTTCGTAGGCATTCCAGGAGCAAAAAATGGACACCAACATCGAAAGATGAATTACATGTATTTTTTGCTTTGAATATTCTGCAAGGTATTGTAAAAAAGCCAGTTGTTGAGCAGTATTGGAGCAAGAAGCATTCAACATCCACGCCATTTTTCCAAAAGTGATGTCATATCGCCGCTTTCAGTTAACCCTTTAACTGCTTAAGACGTGTTTAAACGTTTTTGGAATTATTTAAAAATGCTTAAGACGTCTTTGCACGAATTTCAAATCGCACGAAAAATGACCTGTATTAATTAATTATTGTGTGTATTAATTAATAAATTAAGACGTGTATACACGAAGCCCGAATTTCGCGAAGATTGCTTAAGACGTGTTTAGACGACGCGATCTGGTCTTCCTTCCCCTACGTTTCTGCAGGCGGCTGTCAGTTGACACAAAGCTCTTAATAGGGTGTGTCTCTTTCAAAAGAACTCTTTCAAAAGAGCACTTTAGGAAAAAGTCCTTAGAGTGAAGTATCTTTGTCAGATAGCAGGTATGTATTATCTGTGTGCCGACTAAAAGTTTGCGAAAGAAGATAAATCGTTTTACAACTGTTTGCCTTGTGGTACTTTATACAAATGAAAGTCAAACAGGATCCGTCGTTGTTATAGTACATTGCCGAATTTTAGTAGAAACAAGAAAAAATAAGAATTGTAACGGAGGACGCCTTTATGCCTATATGTTATAGAATCAAATATTTTATTTTTGTATTGAAAAATGATTACAATTTCTGATTCGTCAGGAAACAATATAAAATGTTGCAACCAGCTTTCTTGTTTGCCTTCGTATTTCAAATGCGCGTTATTATAATGTTATATTCTTCTTTTTACATTCTTAAATGTTAAAACTGTGCTGTTCTTAAATGTTAAAACTGTGCTGTTCTTAAATGTTAAAACTGTGCAGCATGCCTGAGTTTTGTACTCGTATGTGTGGCTCTATGCTCCGTAGAAATGGCGAACTGACATATAAAAATTATATGAATGTTGAAAGGAAGATATTCTACTCGAAACTTCAACTAAATGGAATAAATGAATACGCCGAAGGAATTTCTAGAAATATTTGTTTTAAAAATTTTATTATTAAGATTTTAAATACAAAATGTTTTGAAATCTAAAGAAAAAATATGTAATCCTTGAAACATTTTTGGAAAGAAATCTATCGATATAAAATCTCTTAAAATTAATGGAGTGTAAATTAATTAAAACAGTTAGTGTACGGAAGGGTTAGCTATACTGCGCACAAAAAAAATTACAGTCAGAAGATCAATTATTTAAAGATATAAATTAATTACATTAAAAGAATTTAAAATAAATTAACATCTGTCCAAATGTCAATGCTAACAGCAATAGCACGAATGAAAGTTATTCTTTAAATTCCGAACTTGAGTTCATCCGTCGGTACGCAATGATTGTGTCTTTGCGATTACTTTTCTTATAGATACTACAAAAGGCCGCCAACGAAGTAGCGGTAAAATCGTTGAATACTAATAGTTTGAAGCGGGTTCAAATCCTGATGAATGGATTGCCTGCATACCAGTTTTAGCGAATGTTTGTTGCGCATGTTTAATGTGAATATGAGCCAATTTAGTTAGCTTTTCATGATGACGTGCCTTGACTACGAGTCCTCGCTCGGGTTGTGGTTTGGTTTGGCTTGTTAGATTATTAAAGCACGTGAAGGCGATCTGTCTAAGGAAGAGGTATGCTTTCGTGACAGATTTTCTAAGGGAAACAATCTCGCACTACAAAAAGTTAAAACCATAAAAACGCCCATGCAATCAGCTTGTTCACGGGGGTTTGAATGCAGGTCAAACTACCAGTATGTTAAGAGAAGCGATTTCCAAGAATGTTTAATTATTTTATTTAGTTTGTCATAAGCTAAATAAAATAATTAAACATTCTTGAAATCTCTTCACATTACTGAAATGGCAATAACTTCGAATTATACTATGCTACCTACTTTTCCTCTAATATGAAATTTTGAACTTTTCCGTTATCGGACAGCCCACCAGGGACTGAGCGGAGTCTAACGGAACAACTGGTGGTTCTGTCCGGCGTTCGAATCCCGGGAAACGAGCTGGTTGCCAGGATGATATTCTTAGTTTTCCATATGTGTAACATGGATGCAACCTAATTTCCGTTAGGCAGTCCTCGAACGAAGGCATCCTTCACCCTAGGCAAATAACCATCGAGTACTTTGCCATAATCAAATAAACCTTTATCCATAACATGCTTCAAATATTTTTATGTTGAAAAGTTCATGCGCCAAAGTTGGCCCCCGTTGAATGAAATATGTTGTTTATTTTTTCTTTGTTTTTTATAACAACAATGTTCTTGTTTTCAGAATCTGAATTATCAATAAAATTCTTTTTAATAATATGCGATTCTATTTTTTTTTTTTTTTTTTTGTTTAATGAAAAATTAATTTAAGCGACAAATCTCTTACATTTAGAAAAATTTTCGATTTTTCGAAACGAGTTGCTGTCAAAAGCGCATCTTCTCGTTGCTGCATATATTTATTTAAAGCAAACTGCTTGGGCGCGTGTGCTTTTATATTTGAAAAGATTCAGAGAATTTTCAACATGGAAATAAAGTTATTAATTTTACTGAATTTTGTGGATTCTTTGTGTTTTGAGGTAAAAGTCAAACCATCAGATATGTGATAACCTTAAAATAAGGGTATATATAATCAGGATTTTGCGGCCAGACATTCCCAGCGAAATAAATTACAAAAAATTATCTATGTAGAATTAATGTATATTCCGTTTAGTATTTTAATTTATCAGTGTTATTACACATCAGTTTATCAGTGTAAGTTATATCGAGTTTTAGTTGTGTTCGATATAAGAATTTTATTTGGTTTATATAAATCCGATTCGTTTAATAATATTATATTTATTAAATACTATTTATTAGGTTTCCAAATCTGTCAAACCCAATCAATGGCCTCCTGGCTAAGATATCTGATTATCGCTATTTCGACTCGTATTCGAACCCAAACAAACGAACTGGTTGAATTTTGTGATTTTCCCTATGTGTAACATGAACATGAGTACGTTTTACTTAGAAAGTCGTCCATGGAGACATTCATTGCCTTCGGCTGATAGATCTCGTTTCCTTTGCCATACTCAAAAAATCTAAAAATTTTTTTCAAAAAGACTAACAGATGCATATAACAAAATAAAATTAAGTAAATGCATATAAGAAAATAAATTAAGTAAATGCATATAAAAAAACTGAAGTAAATGTAATAACGATAAAAAAAAAAAAAAAAAAAAAAAAAAAAAAATGAGGTAAAAACAAATTTTCAATAATTTTTCAATACAGTAGTTTTTAAATTGCTTGTTTTCAAATTTTATTTCATTTTTTAGTATGTACTAATATACAGTTTATGTGTGCGAAAGTGTGCTTGTTCGGCATATCCATATATATTAATTAAATAAATCTGATTTGAAAATGCATGCACTAACGCGCTATTCTCGTAATTTGAAAAACACTAAAGTATTGTCTGAG